GAACTTCAAGTGAAGAATAGCTCAAGGTCAAGCAAAGGAGGACACATTGCAGTGACAAGCAAGTCTTAATGAACAGCTGTCAGTCGGAATGGGACGGATGTGCGTGTGCACACTTCCCAATTTTGTGGTGCTGAAATCCATGCTCTGCTCTGTGAGGCACAGGGAAAGATGCTAGCTAGTATCAGCTTCAGACCACCACATCTCATTAAGGAACAGAATAACCAGATTTCTTGCCACCTGCTTTCTTGGAAGGTCAGAGCCCCGCCTGCATTGTGTTGCAATGGAGGCCGCGTTTTGACAGGTCAGAGCACAAGTGATGATGAGTCAATGTATATAATGAGAAGAATGAGTGCAGACCAAACCAATGCTACAAATATTCTTGGCACTTTATGAAAATTTGGCTTCACAAAACCAAAGAATGTTGTTGGAGCTGAAAGTAAAAAAGAAAGGGTGGGTGATAATTGGGAAATATTAAAAGCATTTTATTGGAAGTCCCCAAAGACTATATAGGAGGTGGAGATTCCTGCTGGTTACAGAAATGATAACATTAGTGGGACAGCAAAGGGACAATTAGAAACGTAATAAATGGAGTAAAGGAGAAGTTGGTAGTAGTGAATGAAAGCCAGGGATGAGAAACAGTAGAAAATGAATAATTAAAAAAAGCATCTGGAGCCTTCTGTGAAGGAGTTGTTTCCCTGGAAAATCAGGAAGGTTAGTGTTTGGCTTAGCAAAGAGAAAATTGAGAAACAATCTGGCTGCTGACTGTAAGTGCGTAACAGGGAACAAGCACTTGTCCTCCAGAAGTCTGAGGAAGCACAACAGAAGAAAAAGAAAATTGCAGACCTGAAACAAAGTGTGCATTTTTAATGGAGAATTAGTAGGTACCAAAAAATAACCAGCCGAGAGTAGACCCTGCATGGCTAGGATGCCGTTAGTGTTTCTGCTTTTTACCAGCTCACACCATCTGCAGAATGGGTGAGGCATGGGAAACTTTGTAGCCAGTATAGTTGGTGGCTGATACAGCCAACTGTTTATTGGAAAATAGGCTATTCCACAGAGAAAGCTGTGACAAGCGATGCCAAAGGAACACTTGTTACAGCATTCAGAAACAAAGTTTACTGTGTGGAATAACAATGAGGTCTGTAACTTTGATCAATTAACAATGAAGCTCTGCTACCTCTGAGAATGTTCTGCTTGGTCTCTACTCTGCATCTCAGCACGGCCAGCCTTTCCAACGTACTAAATTCTCCTAGCACCTTCTCGCCGTCGAGCTTGCTCAGAGATCTCACTCCTTTGTCCCTCCCTGCAGGCCAGGTTGCTGTGCTGCTGTCTTTCCTGAGTCACACAGAAGGTAAGGGCCATGAGAACTTCTTCCTAATGGGCAGGAAAATTACTGCCTGCCCCCAGGCTTTCTGCTAAATCAGATCAAACATTATTTCTACATTAGCATCTTTCACTTTGGTTACAGTAAGCACAGATCCCTGATAGTAATGGCATTGACATTACCTGATACATGCAGAAGCATGCAGAGAATTGGCTGTCCAGGTTATGATCCTGTTAACTCTCTAGAGACCAAATCAAAGCAAAATAAACACAAAATGAATAAGTGACCAGGCTTACATCTTTATTCATACTTGTTGGGAACCACATGCTCTTCTAAAGTTACATTTACTACAGAGTTCAGAGGAAACACCTCCTCTTATCTCTCAGCAAAGGGCGTATTTGTAAAGCTCAGTGAAGGGCATGGAACCAAACCTGAACCTTTGCCTCTGGGGCCTCTCACTGCCCTCTTTGAGGCTTCATTTTTGGGCTTAGTGAAACGGCAGCCTGAGAAGCCTGGATCACAAGCAGCATGTGATGTTTGAAAGGCAGGGGTTACTTGTGCCAACAGTAAGCTGTGTGATTCATGAGGATTTTATGGGTCAGAAGTGCTCAAAGTCCATCAGTTACCAGAACAATACAAAAATCATACAGTTTTGTGCTTGAAACTTTATTGCTTTTGTGAAGGTAGAATTATTTATTGTATGGGAGCTGCTGAATCACAGCCTGAACCTCTGATTGATCACCTGAGGTGAGCAATGAGTCAGCCCTGGGAGCACAGGTGAAGGCAATTCTCCTGTGCTGCCGGAAGGGTAGAGCCTGGCTGCACCTCTCCTAGAGCCATTTAAGAGCTGACTGCCAGGGGGAAAGGATCTCTTCTGGAGATCCCTCCTCTGGAGTTTCTTAAGTGAGCCCAGGATACAGGTGAGTGTCCCTGTCTTTTCTGCTTTGGTGTAACAACAATGTAGCTAAGCTCTCTGCTATACTATAACATCTGTATATTCATTGATTGTACGTTTACATACTTCAGCCAGTTTTTAGCACCTTTATATTTTTTTACCAGCAGTGTGAAAGCATTTTGTCAGCAGGGAACGATTAGACCTATACTTGTACCAGGAACACAACAGGTTGAATACTTTCCTGTTGTCTTCTCACTTTTGCCCCGTTCATTTGGAAGAATGTGGAAGAATGCTTCATAAGGCCTGGAGATCCCTGAAGCTCCAGGGAAGAACCAATGCTTTGGCAGCTGTATGTACTCAATGAAACCCCTAGGCAAAAAGGGGCACATTCAGAGCAGTGACTTCCAATGACAGGAGCAGGATTCTTCTCACGTTCTTTGCGTTTCCCAGCTACTCCTTAGCTCTCCTTCAGGTCTGAGGATCAGTTCTTTCCAGCAATGGTGGAATCACCCATTATATCCCTTTGCGCTTTTCCTGTAACCTGCCAGAAGATCCCAGGTATCTGAGTAGGAGGTTTTGGTGACCCTATCACACAGGTTCTGAAGTTTCCTGGAACAAGTCTTTGTGACCCTTGTGTTCCCTGGACATGTATTTAAACGTGGAGTAACCTGTGCATAGGCATCCCCAGCTCAGACTTAATTTTGGACACATCAAACAGCAAACACAGGCAAAAGCGATGTGTTTTGAGTAGGGCACAGTTTCAGTTTTTCTACTAGAACACTTCCAACCTCATGTGAAACAGTCAAATAGTTGAAAGGAGCTTTCTTCTCTTCACCGAGCTATGATGTCCTCAGCATTTAATTTTCTGTAGGGACTTGGACAGCACTGTTTTGTTGAGCTCTTCAGGCAAGCGGCAGTCACCTAGCACAGGACCACAGGGGCTTGGTTGTGCTGAACAAAATGTAAGGAAATGATATTCAAATACCGTCTCATTTAGCCTGTCCACAGGGACTAAAAGATTTATATATGTTCTTTCTCCATAACCTCCATTTCCTGTATATAAAAATGGGGAAGAAAAGCCAAATCTTTTTTTCTATGCCCTCTGAAGAATATCCAATGTGCCACCTGTAGTTAGCACGTTTTTCTCCTTTATTCCACCTAAGAACTTATTGTACTGTTTATTTCTGATTGCTGCTATAGGCTGCAGTACAGCTGTCATTAAAAGGTTACCGAGCAGGTTGGTGAGACTATTAAGCTTGACTGCCATTCTGACTTCTTCGAAATTGAAATATTTTCCAAAGCCATCTGATGACTTACTTTAAAAGGCTCTTTTTTTTTTCTTCTTACAAAAAAGCACACATGCTCTCTTCCTCATACACTTCAGCAGTGTCACTGTGTAGCACCTATGCTGCTGGTCTAGTAATAAGCAGTGAGATCACCAGAGATATTATAGTCCAGGTCACTGGAAGTGCTAACTTTTGTCCAACACGTAAGCTCACAACTTCATGGCAAAGTACTTACCTGTTATATCAAATTATATAGGAGTCTTTACAGATACATCAGCCTGAGGTGGAACGATCTGGTAGGAATTTGTTACCCATGCCAGGGACTCTGCATGGCTTTGTGTGCAGACCACTGAGTATGACACTGCTTCGCACAGGACTAAGCAGAGAGCACTGCCTAGGCAGGGGCTTGTTATTACCCACTGGGAGTGCCCAGGAAAGAGTGCAAAATATTGGGGAAGGCTACTGTAAATCCTGCCTTCATAGAATGTTGCTGATTTGAGTGCTTGCTTTCTGATTGCCAGCTTGAGACAAAGCCCCAGATGCCAGCTGTAAAGGCTGGAAACTAAAAAAATAAATAAGGAGAAACATTGAGATTTCTTTTCCTGGATTTTTAGCTGAAGCTAAGAACATCTCTGAATACTTTACTGAAACAAGCCACACAGAATGTGAGACTGGTACCTTTAAAATGATGCTTATTTAGTCTTGGAGGAGTCAGTTTTAATGTTGGATTAATATCTGTTGAAGTCTGCTACTGTGTTTCAGGCTCAGGAGAAAAGAACTGTATCTCAAAAATACTCCGGAGTTAATCAGGGATGTGGCAGCATCTGCTTAAGAGAGACCTGTAATTGAATCATCCCTAATTAACCTATCACCTCAGCAGAAGGGAATAGGGCATTGGTACAACTTACTGAAATGGATGAGAGCAATGGGGATGAAAAGGGGGTAGGATAAGGGAAAGACAAATCAATATGCCTGTCACCTAGTTTTATTAAAAAAAAAGAAAAAAGGGAAAAAGAAATTAAAGAATATGAATCATTAAATGTGTGTGGTATAGTTAATCATGCTGTGGTTTCAGAAACATTAGAGCATGTTTATGTGTTAATCACTGCATGGTTTAGTCCTTGGATGTTTTCTTATTTGTACGGTTTGGGCTGTTTACTGTATTTACACATTTATTTTTTTTTTCTATCATTACTGCTGACCTAATTTGCATTTGTAATAATTGTCGTTTCAAACTAGAGAAAGCCTAGTTTACAAACCAGCAGGCAGAAAATAAAATGAATGTCACAGATCTCCACATAGGAAATAATAATACAGAGTCAGCTGTGTATTTATTGAATGAAATGACAGCACAAATCAAAATGAGGAATATTTCCTATTTGAAATAAATCTCACAGAGGTATACAGATCCTGAATAACACTGCTTGATTTAATGTTGTTTTCTTATTTTGTGCTAGCTGGCTAATATACAGTAATTGCCATTTGTTTCATGCAGTGCCCTGCCAGACTGTTTTAGATTACTTGAAGACTGTACTTCAGCATCACAACCAACTTATGGTACCACAGCCAACAGACCATCCAACTGAGGTAGTATACAGTGAAGACAAGATACTTATTTTTGTGTTTGAAAATTCATACAGCTCTGCTGTAACTCGTTAATTTTGTTCCAGTATGTTTCTTTTCAGACAAAGTAAAAAGTCTGTATTTTGGGATTGTTCTATGCATGCTTACATAAGTATAGTCCATACGTGTCACTACACATCATTCATGCAAGCAAAATCACAGGAGGGAAGATGTAGGTCTAGTTTGACCTCCTATTGCTCATCATATAAATTACATGTCATGCAAGTCTCACAGAGTCCAGTTGAGCACAGTTTTGCTGAAGATGCTTTGCAGCAGTTCAGACTTTGCAGCAGAGTGCTTCTCTCTTCAGTTTTACTCTGCGCAAATTGCAATACGTATATATTTATATTTATATATCATTGCATGTTATCACTCCAATATATTCCAGTGCTTCATTTTCCTTTTTTCATGCTCTTCTGTTTAACTAAATTTTTCTGGCACTGTGAAAATGGGGCCATTCTGTAATGCCCACATGGAATCACTTGTCATGATGTGACAGAATTTTTTATTCAATTAAACACTTAGATGCTAATCTTTTATTCATAAGTTTAATCATGTACAAATACAAGCATGAACACATTTGTACTGTAGTTCATCCTTCAGGATCTGCTTATTTCATTTCTGGAAGGTTTTCTGTTTGTTTTAGTTTAATGACTGCTGGACGCATCAAACTGCATCATATACTTACCACAAATATTTTGCCTAGAAGTGCCTTCCTCTGGCAGCAAGTAATGAAAGTGTATGTGTAGCAGGAACAGAGTAATTGTTCAACAGAATATCATAACACTGCATCATGCCTTTGGTGAAGAACAAGGAAAAATATCCTAAATTTCAGTGGGAATAAGAGAGAAGTATAATAAAATTTGGGCTGAGGAAATTACGCAAAATTTATTACCTTCTCCACAGTTAATAGTAATGGGAGCTCTCATGAAATTTAGATGTAAGGCCTTCCTGCACTACATTTAAAAACCCACATTTCCATTAGAGCAATACATTTAAACAGAAAGGTGGCTTTTAGGATAACTTGCTGCTTAACAGAGCCACCCATGAGCATCCATCCCTAACACATGTGAGTGAGCCTGGAGCATAAGGCTGTGCAAGGACTGGCATTGCACTGCTCCTGCTTGGCTTGCCCAAAAGCGAGGCATCACCCGGAGTCAGTTGCACAAGTGTTGGTAAGGCTCTTGTTTCATTGTATTTTTTCTTAATAGGAAAAAAAGGAGATTTCAGGGATCTATGGTATAAATAAAAGGGATGCGGAGCAAGCTGCTGGAAAAAAAAAGTGCCAACATTAGGGTTAGATGTGCCTCATGTCTGAGGGAACAAGCCAAGGAAATATTAGTGTCAGCTCCAACTGCGTTGGGATATTTGGCCATCATAGCAACAAGGCCCATCTTCTCCTTTATATTTTGGCTTCTGTTGCTGAGTTTTGGATTTTCCCGGGGCTGTCTTTGCGGTGGTTTGCACAAAGCCAGTTAGGTCTGCAGTGAGGCAAATAGGTGGCATGCCATCACGTAGGTGATGCTCCTAGCGGTGTTCCATACACTGGGAGGTGACAAAGTTTTAAGTCGTACCAAAAGACTCTTCAGTGACCCCCTCTTCACAGCCTTCACTGCTTTTAGCTTCATGCTTACTTATCAAACTATCAAAAAATTAAAGGAAATCTCAAGGAAAAGCTTCAAAGAGGCTCCCAAGCTGCCCCAGCATGCTTTTATAACCATATGAAAAGAGACAAGAGCAGTTCTTAAAAGAGTTTTCAGATATCAGAGATGTGAAAGCAGGGAGGGTAACTTTGCAGCAGTTGACCACAAGTGTAACATGCAAGTGTAAGAAACACTTTATTAAAGTGCTTTTATTGCAGGCATCATGGTACAGGTGTCTAGGAAGGCATGGTGTTGGGTTATTTGCATGGTTAATCTCCTTATTGATTTAGTCTATTAACAGTATCATCATATATTAATTGACTGATCACAAAGTGTAGCATTTTATAGGAGGCAAGAATAACAGTAATGCAATTGAGGTACAATTGACTCAAGAGGGTTTATAATGGGTGTGGATTACAAGAATCCCCATAATTAGTCCCTCAGCATTCATTTAATGTTGGAATATTAAAGCACACAAATTACGAAGGTTAAAAGCAAAATTTCTTTCCAGCTGACATGGTGGCATTCCTGTAAAGCTGTAATTTGAGTTAATATGGCATTCATTAATAGTAATGAAGCTTTTAGTTTTCATAGTTGCTTTATTTATTTTCTTTATGTTTTCTCACAGTAATGTAACTGCTGTCAGGTTTCAGGTGTGCACTACAGAAGCGATGAGTTTATTATAAAAATAGACCAAAAGAGCCACCTCTGAAGAAAACTGCTGGCTGCTGTGAAGTGTTCCATTTGATCACGCTCTTCAAAGCCCCTTTCTATGCATTTTAACAGATTAAGAAGAAAGGTTATATTTAAATATATAATCCAGTCGCTGGTTCTCAGCACTTTCTGACCTACTTGCTGAAGTGCAAATTATCAGTAGCCATCTCTTAAACGTGTTCCTTTCACCTTTCCAACTTGCAGTTATGAAAAATGGAAATATAATTGAAAAGGTACTCAGTAAGAGCAGTGATGTGCTCACCTCGGTGTGTGTTTCCCTGTGGTATCCCAGCTGCTTAAGAAGCATGTGTTTTTATTGCAGCTGACACTAGCTATTTGCCTTGTAAAATAAGCAATGGAAATATTTCCTTTTTTCAGGGGAGCAAGCAGTTGCTGAACAACTACCCTGTCTACATCACTAGTAAACAGTGGGATGAGGCTGTAAATTCATCCAAGAAAGATGGACGGCGGCTCCTTCGATATCTCATCAGATTTGTTTTCACAACCGATGAGCTTAAGTACTCATGCGGCCTTGGGAAAAGGAAAAGGTCAGTGCAGTCAGGAGAGACAGGTCCTGAAAGACGTCCTCTGGATCCAGTAAAAGTAACATGTCTCAGAGGTACTGCATCCTTTCGCTCAGTGTCCACCATATGTGATCTCATTTCACCGCATTGGCTCTGGCTCAGTAGAAGCGTTTGGCTGACAGTTGCACATCTAGAAGGGGTTTCAGAGAGAAGTGACAAGCAGCCAGAAACCCTCTTCCCCCCCCTTTTTTTTTTAATACATACATACATGTATGTATGTATGTATTTTATTTATGTGTATAGATATTTGAATGGGGAAAAAAAGCAGAGCTGCTTACCTGAGGGAGGAGATAGGTCAATGAGTGCATGACACCACTGTATGTGAAACAGCAAAGGAACATCATACAGTCCTGATTGCCCTCCTTTATAGTAAAACAACAGGGCATTCTTGCTAATACACAATAAAATTAACCAAAGGAATATTTTTAGCCAAACATGTTTAGCAGATGGCACTCTAAGTCAGTGAATGGCCATTGAGTCAAAATCTTACAAGATTCAGAATAAGTTTGGACTTTCAGTAGGGCCAAGAACATCTGCAGGTTAGAGAGATAAATACAGGTATGCACAAAAGTATTGTCAAGGATTTAACTTCTTTGAAGTACCCATGTAACATTTACTGTGAAAGTTAGGGAACATCTGGCCTCAAAAAGAAGGAGAGTTTTGCAAGCATTTTACAACAACATTGATGATGTTGGACAATACAGAAAAAGAACCTAGATTTAGAAGAATTTTCTGTTGTGGCATTTTGTACTTGGGTTTTCTGAAATTTTAAGACCTGCTACTGTGCTTTATAACGAAACATACAAAGCAGGACCCTTTAATGTTCTGCTTTAAAGAAAGTATTTTTGTCATATGGGTGCCTGCATTTCTTAAATGCATCTGTTTATCATTTATTTAATGAACTTTACTTGTAGTGTTCTATGAGCACATGCCTTAAATTTAGATTGAGCTGACTTCAGGAATGTTTTACTCATCAATGCAGTGTAAACTGATAAATTTTCAGCAGCCAACAGTAATGACTTTTAGTCATGTAACAGCAACCCTAAGTTTTTACTCATAGGACGGAGCCTCTTCCCACTTGGGTTAGAGGAATCCAGCAAGGCTCAGCAAATCATAAATTCTATTGTAGCGCATTGATGTAACCAGGTAAAGAACTCAGTTTTTATACACAGCCAAATTAAGCAAAGATGTTCTTGTACTATGAAGGAACCTGTTAACCTGTTACACGATGCTCTGGCAGTACTTACACTCCTTGAGCATTCAGCAGAAGGACAAGGCCATTGCACAGCATGCCACAGTGGAGTTTGGAGCTGGATTCAGGGTCTCAGAAGTTCTCCTGGAAACTGAAGGCTGAAGGGCTGAATGCTATTTGCTAAATGGATTTACATTTCATCTAATGATTTGTGCACAAATGGAGAGCTAATAACCTTTTCTTCCTCTTTCTCTCCTGCTTCTTCCCACTAGGACTAACAGTAATTGCACCTGTAGATGAATTTACGTGTATGGCTAATTGCCTCTTTGGGCATTAAGCTGACCGAATGTGGAAGCATTCTCTGGGAGAAAGAGAAAGGCCAGTTGCCTTAATTTTCAGAAGTTTGAACAGGAAATCAGAATGTTCAGTGTAGTGAAGAAAGTTAAATAGACAGTTGTTCCTTTGGGCTTTCTTGTGTGGGTGAGAACATTATGACATTCCACAGTGCCAAGAGTTAGCTATTGGCTCCTACCCATTTGCAAGCCCAGGTAACACATGTCTGACTGATTTCCAGTGTATCACACCACTGCCAGAAGAGCAAACTGCTACTCTCTGCACTCAGAGTAGATTAAACATCTGTAAATGTTTTCAGTGTATTCCTACAACAGCCCATTGTCTGGAACCAGCTTTCCAGCAGCCTGGCATGCCTGAGTTATCAGACTGATCCTTTACATAGTGACTACTTCTTTCAGAAAAGAAATCTGTTTGTGAAGCCTCATGTGAACATAACTAGGAATTACTGTTGCCTGTGTCGATTTTCAGGGAACTTATGAACTTCATGAACTTAAATCCTAGATAGCTATCACTTCTGCGGACACACTGCTGGAAGAGCTATGCAAAAATCCCATCCTAATTGTCCAGCAGATGAGATATCTTGCAGGCACAGCAACTCATGTAGGAGCACAGCATTACCTGGTCTCAAGATGTTGTGACAGTAATGAAGTTACCTTACTCCAGTTACTGTGCGCTGCTGGCTTGTCAACAGGAGAAAATGGAATTTAAAAATATCCTAGGAGATGCAGCACTGCATGAGGGAATAACTAATGTTACAGAATAAATAAGAAGCTGTGTTACCTTATAAGATAAAATATATCCAATACATCTAATGAGGCTCCCACATATTTAAAATTGGACTTAGATGTTTCAAAGTCCGAATAACACCTATTGGAAATCTGTTTAGCAGTTACCATTCCAGAATTGGTGAGGCACCTTCTGCAAGTGAAGTTATTGCACATCAAACAATCTGGAAGGAAATTTTAAGAGCTAATCATCACACACGAACAGCTGTCTATAGAAGCAGCAGCAGCTTAAATGGCCAAATTGCATACAGTACAATTCACTTTCCCACACATTGGTAGCTACTGCATGGCTCCCCAATTTAGCCCTTTCATCTCATTTAGCTGTTTCTAAGGCCAGTTTAGACTCCAAAAAACAAGTGTCAGATTCCAAAAGATGAAAAGAGCAGGACTCTTTTCAAAGGAAAGAAACTCCAAGGAGAAAGTAGCACAGAACTGAAATGCCAGTGGACGCATTTTAGAGTGGGTAGCATGCTGCTGCATCCTGCTGGTGTTCCGGCAGCCAGCAGAGGGAGATGATAAAGGTCCTTGACAATAACCACATACATGACAGGTTTCAAGCGAAACGCATCCCAGTTTTAACTTCTAACGTTTACATGTATTGCAGACGCTGAATCGTAAATGTCACTTAGAATTAATTCTTTTTCTTTCTACAAGAAGGGATTTTATCTTCAGGTCCCATCAGGTAGAAGAGCAGACATGCATGTGGAGAAGCACACTTGTAGAGAAGTACAGTAGGTCCAGTTGGCATTATCATGGCATTTCCCATAAGGCTTTACTTCTGCTTAAGTAGAACAGTGATGCCCTGTTTCTTATTTCCCATGGGCTTTTGGTGTCTGGGCGATAGCGGGTGCTGCCAAGACAAGCTGTTTTTTGTATTCTTACCTGTTTTCCTGCAGAGTTCATTAGAATGCATTGCACTTCCAACCCTGACTGGTGGATGCCATCTGAAGAGCAAATCAACAAGGTGTTCAGTGACGCAGTAGGACACGCTCGTCAGGGGCGAGCAGTGGGGACTTTCCTTCACAATGGGAACTCATATTACGAAGGGACTGACCATCCGGGGTCACAGGACGAAGTCTTCAATAGAGGTATGCAAGATGGATCTGGTGATTGACAGCAGTGAGAGAAAACTTACACAACAGTAGCAAGCAGTTAATTTAGAAGAGACTATTTGTTAAACATACTTACCGTGAAGTCATTTAAGAGTCCAAAGCATGTTTGAACACATACTGCGTGCATTTCAGCTTCTCCATTCTATCATATCCTCATTTACAGAAAAATCCACTTCAAAATCTGCCCTATGGGATTTCTCAGTGCCTATTATTTGCAAACCCTTTGTAGCACCCCAAGGGGAAACTGCAGTTTGCTTCATCTAGTTCTAGAGAAAAGATCACTTAAAAATTACAAAAATTTCAAAAGAAACAAAAGCTGCTGTTTTATTTGCATCTTTCTAACAGGCCCAGTTCTGGACCTTCAGACATAACAACCAGATACTATTTGCTTCTCCTGAGAAGGAGATGAAAGAACACATCTCCTTGCTTGTGACAATGAAAGAAGTGGTCACTCATTTCATAACAAAAAGTAGCACAATTACAAATGCTACCTTAAAATACCATGTAAGACAGAAAATTCAGGGGCATCCTTTAGCCAACTATGCCAAGAAATTAAGCTTCTTGCATCGAACAGCACCAGTCGTCAACCACAGAGTCCTTCAAAGGCCCAGAACAATAACAGGCACTTCTAATAGATAAAAATTTCTTTGTGTGTTAGATAGAGACTATGTTTACCTAGATTTCTAGGGAATTAGACTTGACCATGACATTTTTCATCCCCCCCCAAAAAAAATTGCTAAAAACAAATAGCTATTTCAGAAGACAGGTTTGCTTTGTCTGTTGCTATTCTGCAGCTATGTTGTGTAGCTTTAGAGGATTTAAATTTTCTTTTCTTGTTTTTACTTCAATTTGTATTTTGTATCCAGTCCTCAAAATAGATGAGGCAGTGTGATGGTCTCAACAGTCAGATGTTCAGTGGTGCATTCAGGGAGGAGCTGAGTTAGAAAAACCTAATTCAGCATTTCTTTGTAAGAGAAGTAAGCCTGGGATCCAGACTAAGAGTTGTAAAAAAAAACAATGTTTTCTAGAAGAGAAGCCAATTCACAGCAGAGTACAATATGGAAACGGATGCTGATGTAAAGGAAAAACAATCTGTCCTTTTCAAATATTTAATTTCAAAGGCTTAGGAGTCCCATGTCCCTCTAAATTGATGCACTCCTGAAATACATAATGCCAAAGAAACAGTTCCTTCCTTTCAGCATCAGGGTGTTTCCATCTCTATACCTTGGTCAGTTGCCCAGGCTGCTGCTGGTATTGGGCAGTGCCTGGCCCAGCCTCCTTGGGATGATGTTTCCCAACAGATGGGGATGGGGAACTGGTTTTTGGAAAGAAAATCCAAATTTTGATCAACTTCAGTGCTACCTCATCAGTGTTTATTCTCCTGAACATGTGTCTCATACTGCCCAGCTTTCCCACCCATCTTGCTCAAACCATTGGAGAAGCTACTAATTCCTCCTTCCACCCTTCTCCTCTCTTTCCCAACCTTCACCCATGCACCGGGCAGGGCAGGAAACACACAGCCCATTCCCTTAACAGCCTGGAAGGGCCATCTGCAGTGCAGTGCAGCCATAGCCCCGGCCTAGCTGGAGACGAGGACCTAGGGCACTCCCACAAATGGCAGCTCACCCACATCACCATTCTGTCCTGGCATTGGCCTCCTCGTCACCTGCTGCTATGAGCAGCCTACAGGCTTCAGTATACACCCTGCTCAGCCAGGATATGCTTTAGGCCTTTAAATGTCCAATACCTCTGGACTTATTTTAATTTTGGTACTTCTTAAAAGGGGGCTGGTAGGCACTCATCCGACGCAGACGAACCAATTCATTTTCTAACATTAACAGCAGTTCAGTCACACTGCACCTTACCAGGCCAAGGGGTTTTGGGGCAGCATCTCTCATGGCAGGCAGAGGTGACTTGCTTGGACCAGTCAACGAGGTGCTGTGGCGGAGGGGGAGAAACTTGGTGTATAGAAACGTCACAGTACAGATATCCTATAGTAGCTTTTCTGTGTTGAACTTACACGTTTTTTAAGAGAACTATTATAGAAGATGTTACATTGCTCAGATGGTGTAAGTCTTGCTGGTGTATGTTCTATGTGGTGACACTTTCCAAAACTACTTGGTAAAACATGTCAGAGCGTGCGAGTCAGCATTATACTGTAAATTTGTCCACAGCGATATGTATCATGCTGTATTTTTGTAAACATTGTGAAGGTTCCTTTCAAATGTTTCAACATACGAGATTAACAATACGGATGCTTCATTTTTAACAGTCTCAGGACAGAATTACTGGACTGGACAGACCTCTCTCACTTAGTAGCCTGAAGATTCTCCTGGAATATCTTGTAAGTCTAGCTTTACTTTTAGTGTAAAAAGCTTAGCCAGTGTCCTGGTACCACTCACAGTCCTGCACTCTCATACTGTGCAAAATAACCAAATGTATAGTTTTGTCCCAAAAGCCACCTAAGCGCTGGAAATGGCTTTGCAGGTTTGGACCTTTCATTTATGAGCAAAATCTTTCCCTCAACCGCTTGCGTGCAATCACCAGTACATGACTAGCAGCCACAGACAGGCATCAGAAGAAGGGAGCTCATCTCTTTTTGGGTTTAGTCTTGTTTTTAAAATAACAACAGCAAATAACAACAGCATCTCCCTAGTTTTAACTGCTGCTGTGGCCACTTGACTCCTGAGCCACCCATCTCATTTAAAAAAACCCTCCACCACCGCTCGCTCCAATTACCTGAGTCACAAGGCATTATAAATTTGCACACATCAAAGCATCGAGGTAGCCGCAAGACGTTAGGCATAACGCTCTGGAACCTGGAATAACAGATAGCTGTAAGCCCTCGCGCAGCGAGACACCAGGATTGACACGCCGTGCTTTGCACACCAGCACATCCCTTCTGTGCTGGCTGCTGGCGGCGGGCTGGCAGCAGGAGGCTGCTATCCGTCATGTCACTCCTGCACATCCCAGGAGGATAGATCCTTGTCTTATCCCTCCGTGCTCTTTAATCTTACTGTCATTTATGTATCTGCCTTCTCTCAAACTTTGTGTAGCAGTACCGCACGCCCATCTGTGCCAACATGCCTTCGCTATATTTTCTATAACAAATATTTGTGGAGAAACTGTGATTAAAAAACCATTAATCCTGATATTTTTATTGTTATGGTGTAGTTAATTCTATGAATACTTTCTAACGATGATTGTACTGTGTAGAGTAAGTACAGGTTAGGGATAGACCTTTACCAGATATTGTACAAAAAAAGTGCATAGTGTAATATAGACTAGTAAGGTTTTTGTGACACTTTCTATAGGATGTGTGAATTGTTTTCTATGTGGCAACACACATTTCTTTTAAAAAATATAAAAAATTTAGAGAATTTTTTAAACAGTCAATATTTTTTAATTATAAAGACATTTGTTACCTGCAGTTTACTATTTCAGGTGTTAATCCTAATTTGAATATTGGTTTTATTACTACATACCTCCAGTTCCATTTGTTCTGTTGCATAACAATGCACAATAAAAGTTGTCTCTGGTTAACTTTTCTGTCTCCCTCTGTACACACCACAGTGACAGCGGCCGGCATTGGTTCTAAACATAAACGCATTTTAGGTTTAGATTTATACAAAAGGTTCAAACACTGCCTTTTTCATTAAATGCGTGTTTGGTATGAAGTGCTGGAAAACACAGGGAAAGATTACGAAGAATTCAAGTATGAATACAAAATGAATCATTTTTGCCTCAAAACATGACAGTGTTTATATACTGATGCACTGGTTAGACAGAGTGCTCAGAGAAGGTGCCCAACTGTGGTGCTATGACTTGGGTTTTCAGGCAGTGAAATTTAAATCCCATTTTAATCCCAAATCCAGTGCTGGCTGACCATCTCCTCTTACGTGCTTTAGGAAATCCTGGCTTCCAGTAGGAGGAGAATACTGCTCTGGGAATTATGTTCTCTGCAGCAGCAGATACCTACTCCAGCCAAGCAGGACAGGCCTGGCCACACACTGCTGCCTTCTCCTAGAGAAGGTGCCAGGTGCTGTCATCACAAAATCCCCATCCCTTTGGGTGCCTGCAGGAGTTTAACCCTCTGAGCTGCTGTTGTTGCAGCTGTAGGACTTCAGTCTCTTTTATTTTTTGTTTAGGGAAGCTGCAGCACAAATCTCAGAATCATAGGGAGCAGATGGGACCTCTATAGTAGAGGTCCCCTATAGTAGGTCATACAGGAAAGCATGCAGGTGGGTCTTGAATATCTCCAGAGAAGAAATCATTTCTGGTGATTCTGAAAAATGTAGTAATGTGTGCCAGGACACAGCTGAAGTGGAACAGGCAGAGGGGTGAGGGAGCCTTATTCAGTACTACAGCTTTATAGCACCCTCATGCTGAACACCCATTAAACAGAGCAGCATGGCACCAGGTAAATTGTGCTTCTTCTCTGCTAAATGGCTGCTCCATGCAGAGAAGCACGGCCACCACTGCTTGCATCTTTGCTTAAGTATGTGGATAACCCTAAACAAGACCTGAGGTCAAAAGTTAGCTGTTACATCTTGGGAGGATGAAGGAATGTAGGTTTTACTCCACTAATAAAGCTATTTGTAGAAACATTAAATTTACAGTATAAAAATCTTAAAATATGACAACTCCAAAGCCAGCTCCCAGGAGTTTGGTCAGACAGGAACCTGTGGTTTCACAGCCAGATGCCCTCTGTGGCCTATTGATGTCTTCTGCACTGGAGCCACATGTCATTCACCTCAGAAGCCGCCCTCAGATGCTAAAGGTAGAGCCCCTAAGTAAGCACAGGCTGCAACCCACCTGCCAGCCTCATGGAGGCTGATGTTGGCCATGGAGCACCCAGCTGTGAGTGAACCCAACACGATCAGTTTCTTTAACCCCACAGAAGAGGCTGGAACACTCATTGCAAGGGAGCACAGCATTTAATCTGCAGTTTTAATCTGCAGCCAGCGTGCCCAGAATTAGGACACAAGGATAGTTTTGCCTCCTCCTTCAAAGGCGGTTTTGTGAAGATGCATGCTGCTGAAAAACTCAGCCACAGTGATAGGCACAATAGAAAAGCCCTTGAAGAAGACAACAAACCTGCCTCTGGAGTAGTTGCAGTGCATGCAGAACACAAAACCAGGCCTCTTACCAAAGAGTAAGGACAAGGACGTAGAGCTGTTGGAGAGGGCCTAGAGCAGGGTCATGAGGATGATCAGAGGCAGCAACAGCTCACCTGTAAAGAAAGTCTGAGAGAGCTGCACTTGTTCTGTGTGGAGGAGATTCTGGGAGACCTCACTGCAACCTTCCAGTACTTGAAAGGAGCTTATAAATGGGAGAAGGATTGACCCTTAACATAGCCTGAGAGTGTTAGGAAAAGGGGGAATGGCTTTAAATTACAAAAAGCTCTCCACGGAGAAACCCTCCCTCTTGCTGAACAGAGCCCCATGGAGCACTCAACAGATCTTTGTGCTGCGCTCAGGGAACGTAAAACCTCTCCTACAGAGACTCACCAAAATCCGAAGCACATAAAAGCAGCTTTCATAGAATCACAAAATGGATTGGGTTGGAAGGGACCTCAAGTATCATCAAGCTCCAACACCCATGCCGCAGGAAGGGCCACCAACTTCCATATCTAATACTAGACCAGGCTGCCCAGGGCCCCATCCAACCTGGCCTTGAACACCTCCAGGGATGGGGCATCCACAACCCGTCTGGGCAGCCTGTTCCAGCACCTCACCACTCTCTTGGTAAAGAACTTCCCCCTGATAGCCAACCTAAATCTTCCCTACTTCAACTTAAAACCATTTCTCCTTGTCCAGATGTTATCTACCCTTGTAAAGAGTTGACTCCCCTCCTGTTTGTGGGCTCCCTTCAGGTACTGGAAGGCTGCAATGAGGCTTTACTGCAGATGTATTGAGTTAAGGGAAAGAGAGAGAAAATAAAACAGATTAATTATCTGAGTCAAGATTTTTAAAATGATGACATAACAATGCTGGGAAAAAAATTTTAAGAAGTCCTTTGTTCTTAAACACTTTAATTCCCCTCACTCATCTAGCAGACACAATCACTACTATCACCGCAGTCTGTAGGAAAATAGAAGGAAACAGATCTGCTAATGACTCCCATTAGAAAAGTTAATATTAAATTTAGTTTCCATTTGGAACAGGGTCAGAAACACAGCAGAAAAGGTCTAATTAAGCTTTGCAAAAATGCCTTGTAGTAACATTAGTGAGAAACTAAAAAGTGTGCTTGCAAAAAAGAATGTGAAACTGAAAGAGCCAGCAACTGTTGGCTATTCATTGAACTGATGGAAAGGGGGATTTTTTTTCCAAAAGGATAGTTCAAAAACCAGAAGCAGATTAACAAGCAGTTTTAACATAATCTGATGAAAAAAAAGGAAAGCCAAGGAAACATCCAAGGTAGCTTTGCTTTCCCATCCACAGCATCAGGAAGACAGTTCCAGGAGACCTTTAGGATTAATTTTTTAAAGTAATGAGTTTGAGGAGCAGAACGGGTCAAGGTCCACAAGCATCACGTAAGCCTAGCTAAAAGAAGCAGCAATGTCCCTTGCCAAGTGCTCAGTGGATTGCAAATTGCTTGTCAACTCCAAAATCTAAGAGGAACAAACAGGGAGAGGTAAGCACCACCTCTACTGGCCCTTTACATATCTGCAGGAGCAGGGTAGGACACCACCATACTGTTAAGTAGGGAAAAGCAAACAACCAAAAAAATGCCAGCAACAAAAAAACCTACATCCATTGTGACTAAGTTCACTAAGAATTTGGAAATGAAATTTGGCATGGAAATATTTGCACATTCTGGATGTAATGCTTAGATAGCCAGAACAGAGGACAGGGGCAACCATCACCAGAGCTGGAGTGCAAGTACCCAACTTGCACTGCCTAAAAAGGGTTCATTCTTTAAATGCCAGCTTTAAAGGAAAGATTTTTCTCTCCATTCCTTGTCTTTCCTTACACATTAAGTTAGAATTAGTACAAAACCATCAAAACTGATGCAGCAGTTTTTTAAATAACATGCTCACTTTACCATTGCTTAATATTTACTAACAAAGTAAACATCTTCCTCTGCTATCTTGTAATGACAGTGGGTGAAAGGACATTTTCTTGCAGTGTTTTACCTCAGAACAGCATGTTGGTGGTACTCAGGTGCTCCACATGACCCTTCGCAACTCCTCTTCAGACTGATGCACATAGTGAACCACTCAAAGGCTTCACCCCATTCTCTATCTCATACTTTTGCATTTGATTTCCCACTCAGCACCTGCCCATCTTCAGAACCTTCAATACCAGGGCTGTCTGTGGATCTGAGGATCTGAGCTGTTTACGTGAGCTGAGGGCCACTAGGCTCTCATCTCTCTGCTGACCCTAGAACACCACAGATTTGGTCTTCTCAATCCATAGCCTCATTGAACTTCTCCCTTTCATTAAGGTTTTCAAACTGTCCACATTTATTAGAACGTTCTGCAGATTTTCTTTTGATTTTTGCTACGATATCAGTACAAAGGCTGAAGGGGAGGCTTACTTTCTATGATCTATTACTGAAGTTCCCCATCAAACATTAGGAGTCAGAGACTAAACTTGAACAGAACTGTTAGGATAAAACTGGAAGGATCCACTTCAACTTGTAACCAACCATCTAACACACACATTATTTATGAATGGCCTTTCAACAAATGCCACAAATGGCCAATAAAGGATTACTTAAGGATTCCAGTTTACATTACAGAAGACAGATGTCACTCTTCCCAAGTGGCTGAGACCATTTGCATGGCTATTTAGACAGCCCAGAAGACAGACTCCAGGATCTCAAAACCTCAAAATGAGAAAAGGTCTCAAATTTAGTCTGTCCTTTCCCAGCTCAGACTTTGTGCCATTCAGTTCAATAAAATTAAACAGAACAAAATAAACAAAGAAAACCAATCACACCCCACCCCATTGGCAATGGAATCACCACCCAGAAATAATGTTGTCTAGCATGGGAAATGAGTTTGTGACATAGTCATTAGCAATCTGAACACCACACATTAAGGTACAGCATCTCTCAAGAGCCTTGAAAGAGTTAACCACGTAAAAGGGAGGAATTCCTATGAAAAGAAATAACTAGCAATCAAGACAGAACTGGCACATGCAAAATCTGGTTACTGAGGGTCTATCTTGCATGTCAGTCAGCTTCACTGGCAATTCTGGCTCGCAGAAGTCCTTTCAGTCACAAAGCTTCTGCAGAAGATAGGATTATGCAGTGAGCACTCAGGAACACTCCCAGTAGTAATTGATGATGGGGTGACCAGTCGTACAATAACCTGATTTATTTCTGAATGCACAGAACTGGTATCTGAAGTGCCAGCTGCACACACAAGAACCCGAGTCTTGTAATACTCTGACCCTGGTGAATCACAAAGGTCCAGATGAAGAACAGCCTTCTCATCTTTCCCAAAATACATTGCTTGACTGGCTGATTTCTGACA